TATTATGTTTTTGTTAGGCTTTGATTGCTATATTTTTTTTTTAATATGTCAAATCATTATCATCATGTCTGATAAAGAAAATAATGTTTTTTTTCCAGATTATAATGTTGATGGTGATTTTCAGACTGGATACCAAAGACAATCTCTAAAAGATGACTGTGTCTACATATTTTTCCCTTGTTTCTACCAAGCCAACGAGAAATCACCTCCCGTCCCAATGGGTGGTGTTGTGGTTGTGGAAAATGACAACGGTGAGGCGGGAACGAAACTTTTGGCCATAGCCACAGATGATTTGGAAGATGGTGCTGATGATAGGGCTGGGGACAAACCCCCTGGAACATTCTATAGCCCCCAGCTCTCTCCGAGCGCTCCAACTTTAGAAGACTCTACTGTTTACCCTGAGGTGAAGTTCAGCCGCCAGTGGTCACAACCTGTACAGGCCACATCATGAGACGTCAGTATGAAATCCAGTTAATACAAAATGACTACCAGGCAACATCACAGGGTGAATGGCTTGTACTTTCCGATGAGCTCACATATTTTTTGACCAATAAAAATAGAGGATTAAGACAACAACAAATGGCATACTTCGTTGCTGCTGGACAAAAATGAATATGCTTTGGGCATTGAATTTAGAAGAAATACCTTATTTCATATGCAGACCTGAATGGATATATTAATGTGTACTGCATGCAGCTTGTAGCAATATTTAATGATAGTTCAATATCAGTAACAATGGCTAATTACAAAAATATATGTAGGTAATTTTTTTTTGTTTCTTACCTTTTTTGTTTCTTACCTTTTTTGTTTTGACATCTTTTTGAATGAAGGATTCCTCTGCTACTCTTTTGAAAAGGAAAATCTTTGATAATTAATTTGAAATTGTTTTACAGCATATAAAGATTTCATCAAATGGTAGATGTGTTGAATAAAATTATATAGATCTAGGTCACAAATGTAATTATCTGTTTTGTAAAAGTGACTCTTGTCAGTAAAAGTTAACTGTTTAACTCATGTGGACATGTTGCATTTTAACTGAAACTTTAGTAGTTTGTCATAAGCAATTATAATTTTTAGTGTGATTTTTTTTTTATAATTGAAATATTTTCAGTTTCTATCTTATTTTAGAAATCTGATTGAAGGAAGCATATTAAATAAATAAAGTTAGTGAGTAAAAAGGTAATTAGTTTATCTATAATTATGAATTTAAGCTTCTGTTAAAATTCATTTCATATAAAGTTTCATAAAATTCAGGAAATATTTAGATGTAAGGTATCTCCAAAGTTTTGTTACTATATTTATTATATGTTGGGTTTTTTTTTGGTGGTTTTCTTTTTGTTTGCTTTGTTTTTGTTGGGTTTTTTTTCTTTTTTTTTTTTCAGCTTTTACATCTAGATTCTTAAAGTTGATTGCTTACAACATAGACTCAAAATGCACATTCCAAACAGAATTTTGGTGTTCTAAAAATCATTGATCTTATATAATTAAATTTTAAACAGCTTTTTAGACATCTAAATTTCTGTGCATATTCAGCTAATTAAAATATTATAAGTACCAATTAGTCATACAAATATTAAAATAAAGTATTGTCAGGCATAATTTGTTTAAATTTTGTGTGATTGTTAGATACTTTTGGGTTGTTTTAATTTTTTTATTTGCTCAGTTTTTATTCATCAATTTGTCATTGTAACTTTTGTAGTTAAAAAATGCACTTGTAAAGAAAACAGTTACATTAATATAAAAGTTTTCCTTCTTAAAGTAGACACATTTTCTGTTTAAAAATTGAGATATTCTTTAGTTTCATTAATTGTTTATTTTATTTTCTACTTATAGTCAACTGTGACTAATAGAATAGAATTCAATAAGTGAGCCTGCTTCTGAAAGCAAACTTACTTCTCGTTTGGATTAAAATATATCCATTATTATTATTCAAACTTTTTTTTTGCTCATTCAAATGTCGTGGTTGAGTGGAGTTTACATGGAAACTGGGCCCTTCAATGGGTTCCTGTGTATATAAAACTTGCATTATATTGACAAGCTTATCATAATGTGTATTAAAATACTTGTTAGTGTACACGTGTTCAAGAGAGAGAACAAAAGAACACTTCTATATAGTCAAATGAGTGCTTGGACTCTAAGTTGCTGATGATAATGTTAATGATTGTGATGACCTTTGACTTTGTGATGATGTACAAACATTAATTTGCTGAACAAAATGTCCTTTAAAATAATAATTTTCTAATATTGGAAGGACTGTGTTATGCTTCAATATTTGCATTTCATTTTGTATTATGTCTCAAACTGAATTTTTTAAAACTCTTTTTTTTGTTGTTGTTTTAAATCCAGTACCACATTTAACAGAAATGTATTTCAGTAATTCCCAGCCTGAAATCAACATAGAATTCCTGTACTCCTTCTTATTTCTACTTTTCACATTTTTTTTAAAAATAATCCCAATAGCTTACACAGTTGATGTGAAATTTGTACGTCCAATCATTCTCATTGGACAGTTTCACAAATGTTGAGTTAAGTAAACATTTTTAGTGAAATTTGTCAACCATCCAAATTTTATTATATAATCTGTTTAATGGGGATTAAAGATGTTACTCAAGCCAGAAATGGCAACAAATTATGGAGGATATAAATGAATATGTACATAAACTACTTCCATTTCTAATTATTACTTTATATTTTTGTAAAAGAGATTTACCAAGTAGCTTACAATTCTATGGTTCTGTTGTTTGTTGTTTTATTTTATAGTTTTTTTCAATGCTTCATTTTACTTCATCAATGTTGTTTTGTTGTTTTTTTTATTGACGTATTTGCATGTGCAGATCTATTTTCCAGTCGAGTAGACAAAGCATTTAACATTTTCGCTACTGATATTTTGTGTTAACTTCTTTTTATAAAGTTAACTGCATTTTTTTGTTTTATGAATAGGCATTGTCTCCCTTTACTTGATTTTGTTTGGCATTCAGTGTTTCACAAATGGTGCATGGTTTCAAATATATTTGATATTCATGTCCTTAGAGGTTAAATGAAAAAAAAAAAAAATTTTGTTGAGTAAGTTTTCTAATAGTGTTTTGTTTTTGTTTTTTATTTTTAATCATTATATTTAATTAAGGCCACCAAATAAAGTCTTCATTTTGGATTATTACATACAATATATTCATATATATCACAAGTTATGCCTACCAAGATGTTACACACAGCATTCTTGTGAATGAATTTGTTATCAAACAAATTTAGGTAGCTCTTACCCCCCCTCCCTCTAGAAAGCTCATTGTAGCCGTACTGTTATGAAGTCATTTCAAGCTTTATTTGAAATATAGGAAACAGCACTATTCTGCTTGAGCAAGGTAACTGTGCTCCTTCATGACACCACACTTCTGCTTCTTACAATGCTTCTCCAATGGTATGGCTGCCTGGTCATGTGATATGCACACTCGACTCACGTTTGGATGATCCCGGTTTTATACCCTACCCCCATTCATCCCCCATCATCCTGTGGGAAGTTTGGGCTAGGATGAAATTATCTTGAACTCTGAAGGAACATTTGAAGGATTTGAGAACAACATACAAACCAAACAATTGCCCAAAATGTTGTTTCAGCTTTTTGTTGTTGCTTTTGTTTAGGATGGTTTTACATTATTTCAGTTTTCTTTTCTTTTAGGCGTTATGTATTTTCTAAGTAATGTTTTTATCTGTGATAAAAGAAAATTGAAGGTGTTGTAGAATGTATCACAGCCATTCACAAGTGTGGTCTATTTATCACAGCGCAGTATGTTTAAAAAAATTTTCATCAAAATAATTTCTTATCACTTTGCTATTATTATCTTCTTTATTAAACTTTCCTGAGTCTTTTTGTGAGATCTCATAAATGAAATAAAATTCCAACAAAAAAATTGAAAAGAATGTTTAAGACAAGTTTATAGGTTGGTTGCTGTCAAACTTGTGGTATTGGTCCCCAGTTTTAACCTTTCTTTCCATCCAGAAGAATGTATAGGGCAGAGCTGAGAAATCTTCTTTAAAAAAATCCTCATTTAACTGTTGCAATTAATAAATTTCTAATTTTTTATTAAATCTCCACTTTTTTCCAGGTGTTTTGCTCTTTCCTTTGCATTCTTTAGTTCTTCAACCAACATTTGTTGTAGTAACAAAATCAGTTCAGTAAATGAGCTCATTGCAGCTCTTTACATCTGCTATAAACGTATAGTGATGCTGACAAAACTCTATATCATTTGACTGAATTTATTGTAATTGTAAACAAACAATGTAACATCAAAAACTAATTCTTTTTTTTTCCTTATTGCTTTTGCTTAGGTGTAAACCTAGTTCCTTATCATATATATATATATTTGGTTTTCATAATTTACAGCAGCATCATGGTCTGTATTGTGTTTCTCTAAATATTGTTGTTCAGCCAATAATGTTTCATAGCTTTTCATAATAATGACTTTATATTTTCTAGTTATTACACCATTTTTTAATTTTATTTTGACTGTTTTTGTGGGCATAAGCATACTTAGATTTCTTTCAAACTGAATATAAATCTGTACCAATTGTGTTTAGATTGTTTCAAAATATATGGGATAAATAAGTCGAAATGTTTGAAATGGGATACATGCAAAAACTTACAGACTATTTGAAAAATTTGGCTTGATGAGAAAATGTGCTTGTCTATAAGCTTATGTTCATATTTCAAGTAATAGTCACAATGTAGCAACTTGACTTTGGTTCATTTGTTAAGCAAGAGTCACAATGTAGCAACTGACTTTGGTGCATTTGTTAAGCAAGAGTCACAATGTAGCAACTGACTTAGGTGCATTTGTTAAGCAAGAGTCACAATGTAGCAACTGACTTTGGTGCATTTGTTAAGCAAGAGTCACAATGTAGCAACTGACTTTGGTGCATTTGTTAAGCAAGAGTCACAATGTAGCAACTGACTTTGGTGCATTTGTTAAGCAAGAGTCACAATGTTGCAACTGACTTTGGTGCATGTGTTAAGTAAGAATCACAATGTGGCATCTGACTTTGGTGCATGTGTTAAGTAAGAATCACAATGTGGCAACTGACTTTGGTGCATGTGTTAAGTAAGAATCACAATGTGGCAACTGACTTTGGTGCATGTGTTAAGTAAGAATCACAATGTGGCAACTGACTTTGGTTTTAAGTAAGAGTTTCAATGTTCAACTGATCCCACAAATAGATTTTCGCTTTGCAGTTTTTCAATTAGCTACACATTTGAGAGGGTCTACTCTGGTAGTAGAATCTAATAAACGTTCTCTTATTGTTTTGTTTGTTTTGCTTCATAAATCTTAAATCAATCAGAGCCATGCTGTATAATGTAATCAATATCTAAAAAAAAAGACGTCTTTGTAAAGCAAAGCAAAAATTTAACTTTTTGTTTTTAAAATGTAATTTCACATCTGACTTACATACATATCATACATAGTCTCCTATACTTGAATCTATAAACAACTTGTTTCCATACCAGAAATAATTCTACAGAAGTTAGGTAAATACTTTAAATATTTTGAATGTTCTGCAGTATTTAATGTTGTCATTAATGTGGTCCTTTGACGATACATTTCTTTATATAATATTAAGACACTATTTCTTCATCTTTTCATGACTTGAGCTGTACATGATCATAAATTCTATTGCTGACATTATTTTGGATGTAATGTTAATGAAATAATTTTTTGCCAGATTAAACATGGGCAAATATTTGAAAAAAAAAATGTTTGTTTAGTTTGTTCTTTTAAGTAATACTTTTTTTTTTCATTTTATGTGAACTTTATAGGTCCAATATGGCAACAAGTTTTTTTATTTTGTCAGATGACAAAAAATAAAATAGTCATGCCCAAGAGTTTATTAAATAAAATGACTTAATCTATCCATTTATTGAAATTATGTTCATCTCAGAACTCAACCTTTCATTCCTAACTTCTAGGCATACTATTTTTTATTATATCACAATTTCCAAGACATACTTTATTATAATTTGCACTAATGAATGGTTACATATGCATATAAATACATTTCTGAACAATAAAGAAAGAAAGAACTAGATCCCCAAAAAATATTTAGCACTTATAAAATGCCACAAATCAAAGAAAAATTACACTATCAATTGAAAACTTACTTAAGTTCTCCCGCGCCGTTCGGTGCATTGGGCGGCAAGCTGTCTCCATAAAGATCTGTCATTGGCAATGTCTGAAGCCTCCTCCCACCTGTTGCCCATGCCCTTAGGTCCTCCATGAAGGTGTGGCGCCAAGTAATATAATATATAATAAATTCATAACAAATGAATATTCACATTTGACTAGAGTAACACCTTTAGTTAAATCTCTCAATTTAGAAAGCCTTCGACTCAAAAGTAAAGTAGCAAGTATACCTAAACCACTGAACCATAATCTTCAACTACACAAACATAACGAATAAAGTTGTCAGAAAGACACAAAGATAAAGGCACATTCCTGGTTCCATGTGCTAGGACAAATTTGTACAAATACTCCTTCTTCCCTAGCGCTATTAGAGCATGGAATGGGTTGCCTGAGCTAGGAAAACCAGTGACTTAACAGAATTAAGGTCATAACGCGTAGGACGTAATCGTCTACTTTTTTTAAGTAACGTCTGTATTATATAAGATAAGACGTAAAATTGAATGACCCAACGAAATTATTTTTAAAATATCTATTGTGGATGTCCCTCTCTTATCTAGACTTTGTTTTGATACATATTTATAGCATTTTGATTATTGATCTCAGGACCAAGGGAGTAGATAGAATTAGACAGAAAATACGGCATATTTAGAGACGCTATAGAAGGAGTGACAATAGAGACGCTTTGGGACAAGACTCGGCGACCATTTTCCCCTGTAAATAAACGTTTTAAAGGTTTACCAAAGCGTTGACCAGTTCTTTAAAGAGCGTCTGAAAAGCCGAGCAGCTGTGCGGACTCGCATGTATATGTCTTGGATGGAGCATAACAACCCCTAGGCAGTAGCCCCACAGGCCTTCACCTTAATCCCGCACTACATGTAGGCCTACATCATCATTTTATCCAGAAATTAGATTATAACTGAAAAAAAAACGTACCGGTAGCCCCAGTGACCTTTCTGTTAGCACGGAGTGTCCATTAAATTATATGTCATTGATGTCTTTTCTCCTTTTTCCTCCTTAACTTATACACTTTTAACAGGGGTTTTGGATTAAAGTCTTAATTCTATCTTATCTTATAAAATACAGACGTTACTTCAAAATAGAAGATGATTACGTTCAGTGGCGTCACTAGGGTGGGTGTCACCCGGTGCGGTCAGCTCAGGGTGTCATTCTCCCCCCTCCCCAGCACTGCCTTTAAAAAAATCTTTTTTTTCGTTTTTTTTAAAACTGGAATACATATAGTTTATAATTACCTACATTATTTGATTGTTTAAAAAATTTTAAATGAGAGCCTATTATATTTTAAAATTCCGTTTAATTTTAAAACTCAATTTATCTATAGTTCATAGGGTTTGTGTAGTCATGTGAAACGCGGCACTCATGACTCGTCCCTAATCAAACTTATCCTATCTTATCTTATATAATACAAACATTACTTCAAAAAAGAGATGATTACATCCTACGCGTCATGCATCTAGTCACGCATGTTAACCAATGCCTTAAATTCTGCCAAGACATTGGTTTTCCTGGCTGGTTCAGGCAACCCATTCCAGGCTTTCTAAATTGAGTGATTTTACTAAAGGTGTTACTCTAGTCAAATGTGAATATTCGTTTGTTATTAATCTCACTGCTCTATTTTGTGTCTGTTACAGTTTGTTCATATTTTTTTGAGTTGAGGGGTCCTAAACAGAGGATGCATATTCTATTACTGGCCTAACCAAGGTTAAATAACATCTTAGTTTTATATTCTTATTTGATTTGTAGAAACTTCTTTTAATAAACCCTAATGCTTTGTTTGATTTTTTTAATTGATAGTTTTACATTTCTACAGCAATATGACTAAGTGTTGCATGGGCGTAGCCAGGGGGAGTTTGGGGTTCAACCCCCCCCCCCCAAATTGAACCCCCCAGGGGGGGTCGGAATTTAGTGACTGATTTTTTGCTATGATTTGTTTATTTTAGTTGAGATTTTAATACTAAACCATCATTTGCCCTTCACAACCAAGGGTTTTTTTAGTTTAAAACCCCCTACCAGAGGGGTTTGAGTTAACCCCCCCACCCCCTCTTTCAGTAGGGTTTAAAGCTAAAAAATACCTCTTCAATGTGAAAAAAAATAAAATTTCGCACTTTAAATGTTATATGCTTAGCTAAATTAGTTTTGACTCAGTTTTGAGTTTAAACCCCCCTTCAGCGATGTTTGAAGGTAAAAAATACCTCTTTAATATTAAAAACAAAGCAGTTATATACTCAAAAGTCTATGAGTGTAGTCAAATGTGTTTTGAGTTTAAACTCCCATCCAGTGAAGTTTGAAGCTAAAAAAATACCTCTTCAATATAAAAAAGCAAATTACACACTCTAAAATCTATGAGCGTAGCCAAATGGGTTTTGAGTTTAAACCCCCGCTAGCGGGATTCGAAGCTAATAAATACATCCTCAGTGTAAGAAAAAAAGCAAATTACGCACTCAAAATACTTTGAGCGTTGCCAAAAGGGGTTTTGACTTTAAACCCCCCTTCAGAGGGTTTTGATGCTAAAATATACCTCTTCAATATAAAAAAAGCAAATTACACACTAAAACTATTTGAGCGTAGCTAATCCAATTGGGGTTTTTGAGTTTAAACCCCTCTCCTACAGATGGCTTTTTTTAAAGTTTAAAACCTCTCCAGATGGTTTGAAGTTTAAGATCCCTCTACAAAGCATTTTGAGGTGGAAAACCTCTATCTTTAATATTATTCTAAAGTAAACTACTGTTACTAAATTCTATTACCGTAGCTAAATGGGGTTTTGAATTTTAACAAAAAAAACAACAACATAGATTTTTTAGTTTAAAACCCCCAACAGATGATTTTGACGTTAACACTTCTCATTTCGATATAAAATCTAAAGCAAACTACAGTCACTTAATTCTAAGAGCGTATTCAAGAGAGGTTACACATTTCTACCAGTTGCTGAATTCCATTAATAAAGTGCAGTGAATAGTCATCTGCCGAAATTGAAAAACACTAAATGTGGCTCAACAAAGATAAATAATACAGATTTTAGGAGTCAGTTATAGAGATCGGATCTAAATCAAGGAAATTCTATGCCAAACTGGGAGTCGACCCCTCTGTAAGATTGTGACAGAGCGTCGCATGAGGTTTGCGGGACTTGTTATCCGACAACATGAATTACGCATAATAAGAGTTGCGATGACATCCTAGTACAACTTGACGCCACACATTCATGGAGGTCCTCAGAGCAGGTGGGAAGAGGCTTCAGACATTACCAGTGAAAGAATTTTATTTAAACAGATTGACCTCAAATGCGCCGAACTGCACGGGAGGGTCTAAGTCAGTAAGAATAGCACATTAGGTTTTTGAAATAAAACTTTTTAATAGCAGGCAGGTAAATGCACTGTAGATACCTGAGAATATGCATTTTGTTGGCTTTCAATACCAGAAATAGTGCTTAGCGGCGGGGCTCCGACCCGCGCTGGGGGAGCTCCTAGCGCTCCCCCAGGCCCCCAAGCTAGTAATGGCGGGTAATCTTCAATTTTTCCACTAGCTCCAGGAAGAACCTATTCTAGGGCACAATAAACGTCTTCCGAAAGAATGAAGAGTCAGAATGTAATAAAGATTATGTACACACACACACATAAATACATATAAATATTTCTTTTCGCAAAAGGGGGGAGAAAAAAAATCCCCCCCAAACCCCCCCCCCCCCCCGAAAAAATCCTGGCTACGCCCATGAAGTGTTGTATACTTTTACATTTTCAGCTCCTGGTTGGACCCACTTTTTCTCTTATTTACTCGTTCTGACCCGTGACGTCTTCTACCGATGTCTTCTGATTGCTGCAGAGTATGAATAATTGTTACCGGTCATTGACTTGTAGCACCAAACGAGTGGTGTAATATATCTTAATTAATAAACTTGAAAAACTTGAATAAACTTCCTTGTGAACAATACAAAATATAACTTTATTTATAATATAGACAAAATCAAATTTTGATAAATAAAATAAATGTAATAATATCTCTTAACAAAATCTAACTCACTACAATAACACCTTTCAGCTTTACGATCTGGAGTCGTCTCACTTAACCAAGACAGAGTGACGACAACGTCACCTCTGTTGCATCCTTCACAACCAATCACTATCGTCTTCTCACCGTCATTATGTAAACACACACACACACACACACACACACTATAACTTCTATCATAGGCGGACTGGGTGTCAAAATCGGCCCGGGCATTACCATATAACCCGACCCACAAATGACATGTCATATTATATGTATATAATGTATGTAGATAAAGTTTGATAATGCACCAGATACTGGATGTATGCTTGCGTAGGATTAAATACTGTATTTTATTTATACATGTATGTAGTCTGAAAACTATTAAAAGTTCAATAGCAGTCTTAATAAGTTTGAAATGAATATAATGTTATATCTCTGCTCCCACATTGAAGCGTATGGTACGCACCAGGGCACTGTTAAAGACGAGTGAGTGGGTAGAAACAAGATGGTGGACTGTTGATTCCAACCAAGTAGATAGAGACAGAATAGAGATAGGTTAGAAGCTTAGAACC